CGAAGAAGGACTAAGATGGCGATTTGTACTTTCAACGCCCAATGACGTCATCAAAACCGCTCCAGCCTCCAATCATCACTACCTTAGAGTTAGCACTCCAGGGTATCGCAGATAAGTGGATAGAAACACTAAATTATATAGAAATGCACTTCGGCTGGCACTACTTGCTTTACAGGCCCAAAACACATGCAGACGACCTGCGTCTTGGAAGATACCGATGAATATGTTTAATATTCGAGTCATTTTCCTGGGTCAGTTCTCTCTTCAACGGAACTCAGAGTTGAAACTCGTGGTCAGCATGGACATGGACCATGCGATCCTGCGAATCGTGCCAGCGCCATGAGACATCTACACAAAGGGAAAGCGCGACGCATGCTGTGTGAGGTTACAGCGACTGCAAGTGTTCACTCTGTTCGCTCGCAGTGCTTGCCGAAGCCGGGTGCAACAAGCCCCCGCCAGGGGATGGGTCCCCAAAACTCTTTGTCTCTACTCCAATCGATGACGTAGTTTTCGTGGTCAAGAATGCTTTCAGAAATGCAGAGTTCTCGGGACCCATCCTCTGGTTGGGGCTTGCTGCACCCGGCCTCTGAAGTGTCGGTAACGAAGCTGGCCACTGTTCGCCCCTTAGCCGCGCTGTGACGTTACGCAACACGCGCCGCGTGTCTCCGCTGATGAGTTTTTCAAATAGACCTTTTGTCGCTTTCCCTCCATTTCTCGATTTACGCTACACTTCCAACAATGAATAACTTACTCGAATTCCATGAGGTAGACACTGACTCCTTTCTTCGTGAATGCAGTGCTGTACATCACATTATTCGTGAAACTCGCTTGCGTGAGGTATTTATGTCGATGTTCTGGAATTCAAAGAAACCTCACTAGAAACTTTCTCCATGTAAAAAGTAGGATTAGTAGAAAAAAGTAGAACTTTGAAGGCGATTCGGAATGTTGCAGTTGTTATTATAAATCGCATCTTCTATAGCCACGAAAAGTCATCCGGGCGCTATCGCGATTTACCAGGGTAACCTCCAGGACTAAGCCTGGAAGTTACCCAGGTACAGTACGATAGCGGAGCAAGAGGGGGGCAGGAGCTTCGAGGAAAATGGAACTGGCCAGTATATTTCGGGGTCTCTCCAACCCCGTCTAAGGCTTAATCCCGTCATGACAAAAAAGACACGTTTTACGCGGTTCCTAATGCACTGCACCACAATGCCGCTGTATATTGCGATAGCGCCGTCTTCCGCGTTTTCTGTTTGGACCCAGGCTTACTGCGCGATCAGTACACCAAAGTAATCCCTCCACTGTACAGGATAAAGCTGTTCAGAAGGTTATGGAGCTAGAATGTACACGACAAAAGCGCTATGGCTCCGCTGGAGCTCCCGATATAGTGGCTCTGAGTGGCCCCTCCATCCCCGGGAGCTAGAGTCTGTGTCCTCTCTTTTGGCCTGCCCTCCGGCGTATTCTACCTTGGTGAGCTCTGTCTCTCTGCCATACCAAGTTCGAACTCAAGGAAAAGGAGACCTCAGTTTAAATGTTTCCGATGAATTCCTCTGCTTTTTTTCTTTGCCTTTGCTCACACCAACTTTCACTTTGCGAGATTGGAACAAATTTTGGCTTACTTTTTTCAACTTTTGGTCGCGATCTCTGCCTTTAGATTTCCCTTTCCAGCTGCCACGTTCACTGTATGGTTTGGAAAGCTATCGTGCCCACAGCTCAAATCGAATTCAGCTTTGACTAAATTCCCAAATGGGGTAAGACGCTCTATCGAGATCTTTTACCTGACCGGAGATTCAAAAAGAGCTGGTCAGTCTGATCCTGTTCTACCACTGCCCAAGCAATCATTCAAGAAAATTTCTAAGCGCTTGATGCAAACCTTTGAAACTCATATCGTAGAAGTACTTCTTGCGTACTTGTTCCGGATGTGACACTCGTAGGAATGAGCCGACATCGTCCGTTTTTTCAGTCTTCCACATATCAAATTCGAATCGCGTTGAACTGCAGATCATCGGTCTGGCCTGAGAAATGTTCAGTAGTTCTTATCTGGGGGTTATCGACTAGGACTCTCATCAATTTGATTACTACTGAGCTCTACCATCTTAGGGTTATCATTACCCTGGGCTTACCAGCTCAGCGTTATGACAACCCTAACCTGGTAGGTAAGTTAATGGTAGCTCTAGAAATACCAGAAAACAAAGCAGGATGGGCTTGAAGAGTTCTTAAATTAAGTTAGTGACGCCCAAAAGTTTGCACTTCAACGGCAAGTTGAACATGCAATAGTTACTCAGATACATGAGACGGTAGGTAACTCAGCCAAAATCACTCATCTAGCAGGCCTAGCCCTATTCGGCTAAAACATGATGGATTCTGTGTTGGTCCCAGGATTAGGTTCAAATGGCAGCCAACTCACCGAGCACTCCATTACAAAGTCCTGAATCGGCAAATCTTCGATGAACAAATGGTGGCCCATAAACTATTCCGTCCATCAGCTTTCCCCGTTCCTCCAACAGTCTCTGTTTAGCCAGCAATTCCAACGCGTCCACTTTTCGCAGGCAAGCAATCACTTTCGCATCTTCTGACGGGGCGGGTGTCTCAGGGCGGAAACGAGATGCGGTGCACTGAAAAGCTGACGACTTCCGGTTGAGATCCTTTTTTTTCAAAATGAAATATCAACGAACTCACCCCTGCTTCATGAGCCAGTTCCCATGTGAGGCCAATAAGCTTACTTCTAATACGAAAGTTTATTGCAGGGCTCAGAGCCAGGACTTGTTGGAAATAGTCGATGATCAGGATCAATTAAACTGAAACAGTCAGAAAGGTGGACCTAAAGACCTATCAGCACGATTTTATTGACAAAAACCGTCATTCAATCGCCAGAAAGAGCAACATACAAAACAGCACTGAGCCGAAAACGAGTCGCCAAAGAGCGCACGGAAATGAAAATTCTGAGAAAGTATTCCAAAAACCCTTTAAACCTTCCCAGGCCGACTCACAGGGTATGACCCTGTGCCGGAGCAGTTGAAATAATGATCGGAAAAGCTAGTAGGTTGAGGACGGTTATACCCTTTCAAGGGACGATTGCATAAGGTTCGAAGTAATGAAGCGAAGCTTTCTAGTGGTAAGGATTGGGCAAAGATTTGGCGACTGAGCTTCAAAGCGGCCTACCCGACATGGCCTTTTTCAAGTGCACTAACTCTCGCATACACTAACATAACCCCAGTTGTGATACCCTGTTAAGTCCTGGCACTTTGACGCTTGGTCCTGATTGCCATTGGCGCACTTTCAGTAGCCAAATAAGCGGCTTATTTTGAAGAAAATATAGGATGGCTCAAGTTTGGAGCCAGTCTTTGAAAGTTTAGCTTCGATCCTTCAACTCATTGCTGGGTATACCCTCTTGAGATTTTTAGCGCGACTCCTCGAGATCGGAGCTGTAGAAGCTGATCTTGGCGCTGAATTACTATTGAAAAGGTGCGAAGATAAAAGCAAGGAAACAAAATTGAAAATAACCTGGACACCGTGAAAACCACAACAATGCTGGCACCTTGGGAATGGCCCATAAGGGTGACCCGTTTGGGATCGCCACCGAATGCTTCCACTTCGGAGTGCACCATCTCCAGGCCAGCGATTATATCTGAAAAAACCTCAGTTCTCGATTAGTACTGTCTAAGTACCGTAGTCACAGCTTTAGAGCAGGACTTGAATAGAACCACAATTCATGCTTTGAAGTTGTACAAAGGAGGGCGGGGGACTGGAAGCCAACTCGAACCTCGAAAGCATTGAAAACCTTCAACCCTCCCCGGATCTTCGAGAATGACTAAGCTAAGGTTCACCCTGTAAAAAATTTCCAGCAGTCGCATATAACTTCAGAAAAGCCCTATTTCTATAAATTTGTCCTTCAACGCTGTAGTGGCCCTAGGAGAGTTGAGCCTGCCTGATCCACGAGAATATTTTGGGCACGAATATTTTTTGGGCTCTAATGCAACCCTTTTCCAAATGCTGCTTATCGCGCTGCACCAACACAGAGTAGGGGGATGAAATGGAGCCAAAGTGAACAGAAAGGGGAATACCCTGCCAAAAACACTAGCAATGTAGGCATGTTTCTTTAAGCGGTACAGGAATTCGAAAGGGCATACAGGGTAGTCCATCCGAGAGATATTGTGAGAGTGCAGACGCAGATGGGAGACCATAGCAGACGAGCGAGACGCAGACCATAAGCCGAAGGTTTTTTCAATTCACAAATTATAAGACCCTCCTATGCCAGAACGGCTTTTGGCGAATGGTTTTATCCTACTACCGATGGATTTCATTCACCTCACCGTGGGCCAGAAATAGCGTCTTCAAAAACGGTGCTCCCCTGAAAACTGGCTCCTGTTCAATAGTGACAGACGTCGAGCAGGAAAACGCTAATTAGGGGGAGTTTACTCCACCGTCTTTGTGGAATAACCTGAAATGGCAGAACCACATACCATAGAGTGGTAAATTTCGCGGAACAACGGCCTCATTTGCAATTTCGAGAACACCGAAAATCCCGAGGCCGAAAAGCCGAGATGACGAAAACCACATCTGAATGAAGCTTAAAGTAAGCGTAATAGAGAATGCTCGTTTAGCAGGAGTGGAAAGCACAAGATGAAGCATGGTGTTGTGATAGCTTTTGAGGAAGACCTTCCTCACCCTTTCTAACCTACAGGTTCTTCCTCCCTAAGAAGCTCTAGCCAGCTAAGGGGCATAATAGGAGGTTAGCACAGAAACGGCAAGCATCTCTGATCTCCTTGAAAATTCCTCGGTTTCTAAAAATTCTCTTAGAAAATTCTTCCAAAATATTCCTAACCCTGAACTACCCTTCCCCCACTGCGATTCCCCTACGCGCATGCTCGATCCTGCCCGAACATTTGACCGATTGGATACGTAACCCACCTTTTGACGAATATCGATCCGTTATGTATTGATCGTCAAACATCACAGCGGAATCGTAATTCAAGCTGCCGCCATGGACGTAAAACACGACAGGGCATGAGTGGTCCTGCAGCGAACTGAATGCTCTACAGTGTGATTAATGTTCTCCAAAAAATCAATAACGAACCTTTCTCAAGCAGCTCTCGCAGGCAAACACGTTCATGTACAGACAATCCTCACTCATAGACTTTTGTTTTGTCCCTGCTCACTGTGGAATTGCTCAAACATGCGTCACTAAAGAAAATAAATTTGACTTCACTAGAAGCGAAACCAAAATCCTCCTTTTTCGTAGAAATCCCCGGCGATTTTCAATTCTTATTTAGTCCTAAACGCATAGATTCCGGGAAGTGGATGCGCTGGTTCGTGTGTGAAGAAGCAAAAGGACTGGCCTCGCTCACGTCGACATCAACGCGGATGTAATCAAGAGCTTGTCAACCATAGACCATTGGGGATACGCCATGTTCTCAACATTCAATCACAAGAGCTTTTTAGATAGGTTTCAAATCTAGGCAACCAACGTACCAGTCTAAGTTCAAGCCAGTTCAAAACACATGGCTGAATCAAGCTGAACTTAGGAATGGGTATTGTCTGATTCGTTGCATCTCTAATAACTCTACGCTCGAGGACGAACGTTTTCTGTCGAAGTAGTGGTGTAGGTCATCGCGCGGGCGCGAGAGCAAGCAGAGTTGCGAGTAGAAGTGTCACGGAACACGATGATCGCTGATCGCTCCAGTAGAACCCTGGCTACGCCGGCGCTCGACATGACCCAGCCCGATCTATTTGTGATCGGGCGGCGACGCGTGAGCCGATATCAACGGCACCGTCATGGCCTGATATGATGTTCGTCCTGGCTTTTCTCCTGCCCTCTTCTTTTTCCGGCCGACTCGCAGAGCTGTAGTAATTGTGACTCTTGTTCGGCTCTCAGAAGTTCAACCTTTGTGGTCAAGCAGCTTGTCGATGAAAGTATCCCAACGTGAGTTTATTTTTTACTGAACATTTAATGTAGTACGATTTAGATCACTAAATAAGAATTAGTTCATATTAGTCACAAAATTTATAACTATCTCATGTATTTATTAGACAGCGATGGAGTCCAATCCCGACTGTTGCATATTCGACAAATAAATATGTCGTGCTTACTTCAATCGGGTTACGGTAGGACAGTCCACTTGTCTACGTGATCAAGTACTGCAGGTCCAACACACAAATGGTTGCAGGTGTTCGCTCCCTAGTAGCTGGCCGGGTACCCCTTGTGGTCCGTATGTCTCCTTCAGGACCCACTGATTCCGACAAGTGGCTTCGTTCCCTTTCAAGAGCTTGATCAAAGCGTGCATTACGTGGCTCATTGAATGCAGTGACGCCTGTATGAGGGGGAGTTTCCCTTGAAGCGAGGGACTTACGATGATGGGTTCATAGTGGAAGTGGGGATGCTGAATAATGCCCAGTGGCGAAAAAAGCAAAGAAATCCGTCAAGAACGCGCAAAATGGGACCCCTTTCTTTGCCCGTTGACCTCCGATAATGGACGAGCTAGCAACCAATAAGAGGTCGTTTGCACATGTTAAACCGATAGCCACCATCAAAGCAGAAGACCTCATCAAAATGATAATCGAAGGGCGCTGCTGCTGGGGGCGGAGCACAGGCGGTGGCGGAGCTCAGAAAGGAATGGCAAGCCCTACACGCAGCCCCAAAAACGCCACATTTCGCCCTTTGGCATCTGACTGCTACTCCCACTAGTGCATGTACTTCAACGCTGCCCACTCTATCGTAATCTCTCGCTTTTAGAAGATACTTTGAACCCTGTCCTTAACAGCGAGGAACTGGGCAGAGGGGAACTGACTGAACATAAGTAGAGATTTTGACTTGTTTTTGTTTGTTAACTGCTGTTTTTGGCCGCAGTTCGCCTTGCGAATGTTTCACAAGAATGCTGGGTTGTGAACAAAACTTTCGCCCCAGGCGGGACTAGAACCCGCACCTCTCGCTTTCCGGGCAAGTGCGCTATAAGTAGAGAAGTAGAAGGAAAGATTGAAAGGGGATGTGAAACAGATGGATCGCCCAGTTGGTGATGAACGTAGAGCTATCAAGCCAGTGCCATGAGGTGCTGCATTGAAGAAGAAAAACAGTGAAAAATGACTTCAAACCCGTACATCAGGGATACTGTTTTCTCCCTTGATGTCGGTGGTGACCGAGTCTCATCAAAGCTGACCACTTCAGTTTGGACACTTTGCTCGGTCTCTTCTTTAAAACAGCTGCAACCCGGTGGTGACGGACCAGCAGGCATCGGAGGCCATCAGATGGACGAATGCACATGGAGGGATGAGTAGAACCATGGTACATCGCAATGGGCGTCGACATTCATCGAAAAGTCTACTTTTTGTCTTAAAGGCAGCGGTTACGCTAGGTTTAAATGTGGTTTGGAGGGGACGTGGGGGTCCTCAATAGTACGCCAATGGCGAAAAAAGCAAAGAAATCCGTCAAAAATAAGCAAAATAGTACCCCTTTGATTGCCCTTTCATTTT